TGACAGATGGATGATTATATCAGGATATTCCGCAGAATTGTGCAGCTGCCTTGCTTCCAGTCAAATGTTCTTCTAGTTTAAAATGCCGTTGCCGACCCTAAGCCCGGATGAGAAAGAATTGCATTTCGTCACGAAACCTCAGTTTTGCCCTTCACGGTATTGATGTCGAACATTATACAGGTTCCGTCGTCGCCCCGGTTACCAACAACCTTGCGGTTGTTGGCGGACTGAGGAAGGCCGAAAAGTAGGCGATCAGAGCCTGCTCATCGTCCTCTGCCAGCCGGGGGCGTAGCAGCACAACAACGGTTAACGTAGACACCAGTCATCAACCGAGTCGCTACTCGAAGCAGGCAGACAGCGCGATGCCATTTCAGCACGTCACAAAAGGCTGCACCAGAATGACCCCGCCAGTGGGAGCTTACAGTCGGAAACTGGATTATATCCTCACTCACAGGAAAGGAACAGGAGCTAGTCGATGAGGCCACGAAGTACCAACTCGACATTGTTGGACTCTCGTCAACAAAACGCCAAGGCTCTGGACTTCTGAACCTCAATGCATGGAAGCTGTTCTACTCAGGCGCCGATATCACGACTCGCGCTCAGGCCGGTGTTCGAGTTCTGGTAGAACCCAACCTTGCCGATAGAATAATCGATTGGAAGACTATCAGCGCAAGGGTGGCAATCCTCCGACTGAAGTTGCAACAGGCTAAATAGATGACCTTAGTACAGGTCTAAGCGCCTAACTTGGAGGGAGAATATGAAACCTTCCTTGAGGAAGGGCAGTGTGCTCTCTCTGAAGTGCCGAATAGAGAGTTCCTCATATTGATAGGCGATTTTAATGCGCACGTCGGAGTAGACGCTGAAAAGTGGAACGGCGTGATTGGAAAAACGGCCCTAGCGTCCTCAACAATAACGGCATGAAGTTGTTGCGGTTTTGTGCAAACAACGGATTGTCCATTATGAACACCTTCGAACATCGAAGAGTGCATCAGTGCACCTGGTACCGGGAAGCTTGTGCACAGAAGGCGATGATCGATTTGATAATCGTATCGTCGGACTTAAGGTGCTCAGTAATGGATGTTCGCGTTAGAAGAGGCGCAGAGCCATCAACCGATCATCACCTTGTTGTTGGCACGCTGCGCTGTAAGAAATGGAGTATCATACTAACATCTGGTGGCAGAAGCAATCGGAGAATCAAGTGGGAAACCCTGTCTTCGGTGGACACGAGAGCGAAATTTGCAAACAACATCGCACGACGGTTTGAACAGATCCCAGCGATAACCACTTATGTTGAAACCGAGTGGCAGCTGTTTAAGAGAGCCCTACTCGAC